AAAAGATGATCTGAGTTCTGGGGAGTAAGCATTTACCTTCCAATTTGTCTTCTCTGTCTGACCACTGTCTTTTTCACAGGGGTTTGGGGCCAACAGAAGGAGGTGGAGCAGGATCCTGGACCCTTCAGTGTTCCAGAGGGAGCCACTGTCTCTTTCAACTGCACTTACAGCAACAGTGCCTCCCAGTCTTTCTTCTGGTACAGACAGTATTCCAGGAAAGAACCTAAGTTGCTGATGTCCGCATACTCCAGTGGTAACGAAGATGGAAGGTTTACAGCACAGCTCAATAGAGCCAGCCAGTATATTTCCTTGCTCATCAGAGACTCCCAGCTCAGTGATTCAGCCACCTACCTCTGTGCAGTGCATACACAGTGCTCCCCAGACACCTGCAGTCTGTACCCAAACCTGCTGTGCCCCAGGAATGCCTGATGTAGAGCTTAGACTGCAGGGCAATCAAGTTGACTTTGCTTTCCAGATTCAAGTGGAAATTAAGAGTACTAGTATGGAGGACTGATTGATTAGGGAAGTATTATTATAATTCTGAAAATAATTGAGACCCTGAAGGAAAATGAAAGATACAATCTTGGTCTGGTTAAAATGTTTTCTAGTATTCTCTTTCTACTTTAGTTTTAAAATATATTTTATATTTCTTCTGGAGAGATTAAAAAAATTAAAATATTTTTTGAGATCATTGACAAACCAGAAGGATTACATATTCATTTCGTACATACATCACAATCTATGCCATAAGCATATCCATCATCTCTAAAAGTTTACTTCCTCCCTCCTTTTTTAAAAAAATTTAGGTATGATTGATAAACAGCAAGGTGCATATATTACATAATGTATACATTTTAATGCCCACTCTAGTTTTATGCCACATCTTTGCTTCATGAGATTGGTTTTATGATTCTTTTTATTTATATCAGGAAAACATTTTCATACAATAACAGATATTCTGTCACTGTCCATAGGATATCTTATTCTTTCCACATTTAGTTACCCAAGAAGTTTGATGGTCATTGCTTTAGGAATGCAACAGAAAAACACAAATGCAAAATAAAAAAAATCAGCAAACTACTGTGAAAATCCTGTAAGTCATAAATTCTTTTAGTTATGGGACCCTCATCCCATCTCCAGTCTCAGCTGCAGTGCCACTCCTGAGTTATATAAGGGCACATTTGATGAGTAATTGGAAGAACTAGAGGGAGAGGGTGAGAACTGGTTAAAAAAAGCCTAGATATTTGCAGAGATTGAAGATTAGAGAGGGTCTATATTGCCATTTTGGGGTAAAGTCTGAATTGAACTCAAAACCTTGTGGAAGAGTATATTGATTCCTATGTAACTGAGTGTGGCTTGGAGATGGTAGGGAGACTTAGCCCTAGTCACAATATGTCACATACTCACAGCCCCTGCTGGGATGACTTAAAATTTATTGAGAAGGATCTCTAAGTATCTAAAAGAAGTCTAGACACCAAGAGGCTTTGTTATGATGAACAAAGACCTGTACAAATCAGTGACCAGAGACCATTTGGTATTGAGCATGTTTCAGCAAATGTTGGAGGAGAGTTGGAAACACTGAAGAGCAGATAAATGCCTCCCTCCTCTGACTACCTAGCAATACATATTTGCCCTGCAATGTATACTAAGTTAGGACAAAATATTTGTGCCTGATGAAAAGAAGGCTTTTTAGTCGATATTAAGTTGAATTACAGGAAAAAACTTTGAACATCACTTTATTATAAAAGTGAAGTTGTAGTCTGTTGGGCATGATATTGTTTATGTAGTCCCCAAAGTGGGAAAGTTTAGAAATGGAGAATTAAGATTTCTGTCCAGAGTTGTTCCCATAGTCACTGATGGAAAGGATGCAACTCAATCCAAATGTGCTTCAAATTCTTAATCTGAAGAATGAAAGGCTGACCAAATCTTTCCAAGTCTTGGAAGAAAGATGTGAAAGGCAGTAAGGAAGAGCAGAAAGTTGTGCCAGAATCAAGACCCTTAAATTTTAGCTCCACATTTATTGTACACCTTTTGGCTTCCTGGCATTCTGGAAAGAACCTGGCTTGTGTTTTTTGTTTGAATATTTATGTTACTAATGGTCCATTTATTAGGCTATATATTACATATATTTCAGGATTTGTTTCAGTATTAAATGAGATAACATACTGCCTTGGGATGAGTTCCTTAAAAGTAGAGACCACACTTGGAATTCTTTCTCTGTAATTGATTGAGGAAACCAGGTTGAGATGGGGGAAAGGCTAAGCATGGACATGGTCCAGTGGGAGTCTTGATCCTGCCTGACCTTATAGGGAGCTCTGGAGAGTGAACTGCATCAAAGGGGTGATTATTCCCACCCTGAGGCAAGGGAGTCAGACTGCTCTGACCTATTGTGGGTAAGAATAAAGTCATAATTGGCTGTGCTGTTTCTTGGGGTAGAGGTATATGCTGCTAGACAATCGTGACTCTCATTGGCAGAGGTCAACTTTCTAGGGAAAGGGGCAACTGTGAGCCAAGAGTAGCCAACACTCACAGTGGTGGGGGATGGCTGCACTGTCCTAGGAAAGGAGATCTAAATTGGGGATCAGCAGTGTTCGTTATTACTATGGAGCGTGACTGGTATGTGGGCAGCATTCAAGAAATAATAAACTTTAATTGTATTCTGAATTTTAATTTCTCTCTCTACTTTAAGGCGTTTATACAGTTGGCCTGACCAATTTTGAATAGTTGAAATAATGTAAGTTAAAGCACTTGTTAACAGAAACCATCTAAATAAATATAAAAGACAGATAAAAGGAAACATTTTTTCAAAGCTAAAATTCAGGAATTTTTAAAAGAGTAGTGACCAGAGAACCACTCTACTATCTTAGTTGCTTTTGGGAATGATAAGATGACATTCTATCTGTCACTTTCTACCCAGGTAGCAATGATTCTGATGATTTACAGTTCACTACTCTGGGCTTCCACATGTAGACAGAACAACAGAGATACCATCTATATTTATACATGATTAATGCCATTTTGTTATTAATTTGTATTTAAGAATGAAGGACTGGGTAGCAGGATGGACTCCTCGTGTCATTGTGTCCATGTTCCCCACAAGGTTTCTTTTTGAATGGGGGGCCTGGTCAGTAGTGTGGGTATGTGGGCCTGTCATGTGAATTGACAGGCTTCTTTCTAGGATGAATGAGGAGGAAACTGGTAATTAAGTTGCTTCTCTTTGTTCCCTGAATCTAATATCATTGAAAATGGTCTACTTCTATTAACTACTGATAATAAAAACTGAAACCATCCCAGATGGTTCATGTAAACTCTCATGAAGATTACGTGCCCCAAGCTGGCTTCATATGCTTCTCACACACAAATACAGAAGCAGGTTGGTGAGAACAGAGGGAGGCTAGTGCAGCCATTCCACATGTGGACCTTCACTATATTCTCTTGTGTTCTGTTCCTCTCACCCTTCATCACCTACTCTCTTTCTCAACCCAGAACCTCTCCAGGGTCCCACCCAGTATGTTCCCTCCATTCACATTTCTACTGTAATCTTCTCATAGTTCATTCTGGCCCAGACTTTTCCCCTCTCTGTTTTATCCATCAGTGTGCTCGCATCCACTTATCGTCTACCTCATGGGAATTGTGATATCTTTCATCTTTTTATTACTTTTATTATTAATGGATTCAGGTCATTCTGCTTATGGTTTTACATTTCATTTCAGTGGGAATTTTAGAGAGTTAAGAGGACAGCACATGTGCTTAGTTAGAAGTTTTGTATCAGAAATCCACCCTAGTAACATTTAAATTTTTAAACTGACTACATAATTTAGTCTTACATGTGATAAACAATTTATAGGCAGAATCAAGAAATAGATCAGAAGCCCAAGGAAAAACTGATTTCAGGCTGGTACAAGTCAATGGAGTATTCAGAAAGCAGTTTTTGTTCTGACCTTGTAAAATCCCATTTTACCTGAGATTTTTCTCCTTATTTGGTTATTTCATTTTTAGGATCCAGTGATCTCTATGCTGCAATAGGGTTGGTGGGGAAGGCTTTTTGCTCAAAAGCTTCGTTTTATTATTGAGACACAGGGCAGTCTGTTCTTGTTTGCTATGCCTTTTCTCCCACCCACATGGCACTGCTGTTTACTTAGCTCTGTTGAGCGTCACCATCAATATCTCTCACCATTTCTATACCTCTCACAGGTTCCTCTAGTTTCTGGTCTGCTGGTCGCACTCCTTCCACCGGTATTGAGTTCATGTAGGTTTACTTTTTAAAAATCTCTTTAACTACTTTGATAATCACTTATTTATATGTTATATTTTCTTCCACTTATCATTCTGTTCAAGTTTCTTCATAGATGGAGGAACTTAATTGTGGAGATAGAGAAACTGCATTAATTTTTTTAGTGTCAGATTCTCATAATTTGGCACAACATATCAGTGTATTCTGAACACTGACAGTTGGAATAGGACTCTCACTTTCTCTTTTTAAATGTAAGTTATCTAAGTTATTTTCTCCTAGGTTCACAAATATTAAACTTGTTGACATGAAATTAGGAAGCCTTTTCCACACTTTCCACTTGACAAAGAAAATTCTTGCCTTTAATCGTTTGCTTTGATTAATTAATTAATGACATGTGATCCAGGCTGACTTTAAGTATGAGTCTCTGATCTAATTTATTTTTTAAAGAATCAAATAAAGGAACAATCTCTTTCACCCACTGTAATGCCCATATCCGGCTGCACAGGGCCATATGAGACTCAGCCCAGACTGAGACAACTGATCACCACTCCTCTCTTTGATGAACAGCTTTACTGATATAGAGTGTCTCAATGGTTTTCCAAAGTCTACAACATTGTCTTCTGTGACTAATTTCTCAGTGAAGTAAATTACTCTTCTATTTCTACATAACTCTCCTTTCTCATGTATTTTAAATTAAAACCATTTACTCTACGGAAGGTGACGTCATCACGGATTCGGGAAGAAAGAAACACTTTCTGTTGGTTTTGAGATCACATCTCCCAAATGAGAAGGAACAGTTCACTTCCTTGGATCTGTGGTTCCACGTGTGCCCTTCAGGGGGCGACGTTGCACTAAGGAGGCATCTGTGTTCGTTGCAGACCATCCTCATCTACTGAGTCTCCTCCCTGCAGCTGGCTGATGTAGCTCACTGATGTGTGTGTAGACAGGGAGCTGTGACGAGAACAAGAGGTCAGAACACATCCAGACTCCTTAAGGGAAGACCTCTTTCTGTCTTGGAAACTTTTCAAAGCCAGGGACTTGTCCAGCCCAACCTTCCGACTGCTCCTAGCTCCTGAGGCTCAGGGCCCTTGGCTTCTGTCCGCCCTGCTCAGGGCCCGCCAGCGTCGCCACTCCTCAGCCATGCTCCTGCTGCTCGTCCCAGTGCTCGAGGTGATTTTTACCCTGGGTGAGTAACGTTCCATTCCTTTTCCTACTTTTGTAAATGTGACTGTGTTGTAATTGCCTCTAAGTAGACTTCTTAGCGAAGTCTGCGCTGCCTTTACTTACACAGCATTGGTGTTGCAGGAGGAACCAGAGCCCAGTCTGTGACCCAGCTTGACAGCCAGGTCTCTGTCTCTGAAGGAGTCCCTGTGCTGCTGAGGTGCAACTACTCATCGTCTTTTCCACCAAATCTCTTCTGGTACGTGCAATACCCCAACCAAGGTCTCCAGCTTCTCCTGAAGTACATATCAGGGACCGCGCTGGTTAAAGGCATCAACGGTTTTAAGGCTGAATTTAAGAAGAGTGAAACCTCCTTCCACTTGACGAAAGCCTCAGCCCATGTGAGCGATGCGGCTGAGTACTTCTGTGCTGTGAGTGACACAGTGCCTGAGACTGCAGGGCAGCTGAACACAAACCTCCTGAGATACTGAGACTTTCTGTGACTCGAGAACTCAAACTTGAAGTCTGTTTTATGATATTAAATAGCAATTCCAAGTTTCTGATGCTTATTGATGTATGCTGTATCTTTTTCGTCTGTTTATTTTTAAACTATCTATGACTTTAAAATCTATTTCCTGTAGGTAGCATAAAAGAGCATCTTTTATTTTTATCTACTTTATTAATCTCTGTTTTTGCATTGTGAAGTTTAGATAATTAAAATTGAATATAAATATCAATCAGGTTGGATTTAAGTATATTTCATTATTGTGTTTCACCCATGTTCCTTTTTTTGTTCTTTTTTTCTGACTCTTTTGGATTATTTAAATACTTTTTCAATTTACATTTTAATTTATCTATGAACTTTTTGGCTATAACTCTGTACTTTTTGAGTAGTTGCTCTGGAGATGGCAATGTACATGCCTAAATATCCCGGGTCTTATGTGAGCAAATACTGTACCTCCTTATGTGAAATGTCGAAATTTTACACAATGTCCCTTTATCTACCAACACTAAAGTTTGTTATTGTTGTTCATATGTATTAGTCACATACATTGAAAACTTCACCAGGCCTGGCACAGTGGCTCATGTTTGTAATCCCAACATTTTGGGAGGCAGAGGTGGGAGGATTGCTTGAACTCAGGGGTTTGAGACCAGCCTGGGCAACACAGTGAGACTCCATGTCTATGAAATATAAAAGAAATTAGCCAGTTATGGTGGCACTCACCTGTAGCCTCAACTACTCGGCAAGTTGAAGCAGTATGATAGTTTGAGCCCAAGAGTTCAAGGCTGCAGTTAGCTACGACGATGCCACTGTATTCCAGCCTAAGCAATAGAGTGAGATCCTTGTCTCAATTTGTTTAAAAAATCACAATATAAAGAAAACTTTACCATACAATGTTATAATTTTTGCTTTCAACAATTATATGCACTTAATAAAACTTAAGGAGAAGAATAAGAACTATTTTATACTTAAGAGCTATTTATCATTGCTGGTATCTTCCTTTATTCCTGAAGATTTGGGTTTTCTTTGATACCAGGATATATAACTGAAATTCCCTTCAAACTTAAACACTCCCTTTAGTATTTTTTCTAGAGCAGATTTGCTGGGAAACATATTTTTCATTTTTGTTAATTATCTGAAAATGTATTTTTAACTTGCCCCTTATTTCTGGAAGATAGTTTTTACTGGGTCTGTAATTCTGTGTCAACACTTTCCCCCTCACTTTAAAGATGCCATTTCATTGTCTTTTGGCCTCCATGCTTTCTGAATAGAAATCCATGGCCATCAAGTAATTGCCCTCCAATGATGTAACATGTTGTTTTCCTCTAGCTGCTTCATATATAAGCTGTGTACACACACACACACACGAAAAATTATACAATCTTTTGTTGTCAGTGATTTAATTATAATGTGTTTAGATGTGGTTCTCTTTGGTTTTACCTTGTTTAGGGCTTGAATTGATAAATGCATGTCTTTTCAGTGAATTTGGCAAGCTTTTGGCCATTCTTTCTTCAAATATGTTTTCTGACCCCACATCTTTTTTCTCTCCCTCTAGGACTCCAGTTAGATATAACTTAGACTTTAGAATATTTTCCCACAGGTCTCCAGGGCTCTGTGTTTTTTTCTTTCAATTTTCGAATTGATGTTAAGGGTTGTCAGTGTTTCCTGACCTTGGCACTACTGATATTTTGGGCCTTATAATTTTTTTTATTGGGGTGTGGGGCTGCCCTGTGTGTTGCAGAATTTTTAACATCTCTACACTAGATGCCTATAGCACTACACACCCCAAGTTGTGACAGCCAAAATTGTGTCCAGATTTGCCAAATGTTTCCTAGGGAAAGACAAAGTCAAAATTAGTTGGATTAAATAATCTATATTGATCTATTTTCAATTTTGTATATTATTTTCTCTGTCATCATTTTGCTATTGAGCCCTTACTGTAAGATTTTTATTTTGGATACTGTATTTTTCAGTTCAATATCTATTTTTTTCTTTACTTTGTGGAACATAATCAAAAGAGCTACTTTGACATCTTTGTCTATGAGTTTTAGTATCTTAGTCATCTTGATATTTGAATTTGTTGATCTTTTACTTAAATATTAGTTCATTTTTCTGGCTCTTTGTCAAATAATTTTGACGTACATCTTGAACATTTCAAATATTATGTGTGTACACTCTGTTTTCACCTCCTCTTCTTCTTCTTTAAAAAACAATCATCTAAAAAATGTTAATGTTTTTGTTTGAGCAGAAAGTCAACCTAGTTTGGTTCACACTGTTAGTTGTTTCTCCCCTTTTGTGGAATTTGGTAGCTCAAAATCACAGTTCAGTTCTCTAATCATTTGCAATGTTGGTTTGGGTTTATACCCGTCGTGTGTAGCTCAGGGATTAATGAAACCAGTTTGCGTGGCTCAAATCTCAGGTCAGTTCCTGAACTCTCTGCTACATTGGTTTTAGTTTCTCCTGCATGGGTGCCGCTTGGGGGTAGTCTGAGACTGGAATGGTGATTCAAATATTAGTTAAATAACCTAAGATTTGCTGTTCTGGTCTGAGTCAGGTTCACGTATGTAGAGCCTTGGGATTAGGCTGAGACTTAAAACTATTTTCCATCTCTTCCCTAGGGTCTCTCTTTTCTAGCCTGACCCACAGAGGCAGAAAATTGTGTTTCTTGCAGAGTTTTGACTCCCTACATCATTACCATATTGATGTATGCATTGGGGCCTCCCTCAGGGCAAAGTCGAGAGAAAGAAACAGAAAAAATATGAAATTCACCCTTGTGCAGGTTGCTTCTCCAATTTTTGACTTCCCTACACAATCTGCTAGCTAAAAAAATTTTTTTGGTGTTTTGTTCAGTTTTTACTTGCAATCCATGGCAGAGATTGGCTGTAGGTATCTTAAAGTTATCTCCTATTCTACTATGGTCCTGCATTAATTTGTGGTTGTCCATAATATTCATCAAGAATGGCTATTTGATGTTTTCTTTTTCCACCCTCTTTAGTTGTATTACCCTTTTTAGTTAATCTAATTCATTTTTTATATTTGCAAATTTTTCTCATCAAGATTGTAAGACCATTTAATTAAGGTCTTAAATTTTTTTTTGATATTTCATTTCTTATTTTTCAAATTTAAGAAGGTCTTTCTTTGGTGCAAAAAAATTGAGAATGCATACTTGTTTTTATAAATAATTCAAGTATTATATTTTTTCCTAAAGTCTAAAAATTTTTTATTCTGAATTATATCTGGATTTAAGAGTATGTTAATGCATAGTAGGACTATTCAAATACTACTTTTTTTTTTAGTACCTAAAAGAGAGATGATTAGTTTTTAATTTTCTCTTTCACTGCCTATTTTTTTCATTTCTGATTTTTTGCTTCCTTTAAATGAACCATGCATTTTGGTATTTAGGGCTGTGTTTGGAGACCCTTAAATCTTCCAGGTAATCATATGTTTCTTAGAATGCTGCCAACACTGTTCAGTGAGAATATTCTATTTATGATCTTATTCTTATTTAACTATGAGGTGTTGCTTCTACTACTATAGAGGATTGAATAATTCCTTTACTTTCTTCTAGTGCAGAGCAAAAGGCAGTGTTCTAAGACATCACACAACCCTATGGCCTTTGACTTTGAACACACTGGGCTTTGCAAATGCTCAGCAACTTTGAGAAAAGTTAAAATGACCACCATTCTGAAATTGAGAAGAAGTTGTTCCTCATGGCTTATTTTCGATTATTTTTTTCTGCTCTGACTTTAATCTTCAATATGATCCCACCTACTTTCCGTCTCCTAGAAATATGTGTCACCAGATGACCTTCACCAGATGACTTTCATTTTTTTTTACTCTTGTGAATTTTAGTCTATTTCCATTTTATTTCTATTCTTTAGGAAGAAATATTCAAGAGAAAGGAAATGAACATATAGCATTAAGAATTAGAAGTTTACACTCAAAGATACACTTTTACAAAATGATAGCATTACTTAATTTTCTTCATTCAAGACAATCTTTTCCGACAGGAACAAGTGAATCAAGAACCCAAGGAGAGAACTGGGCTTATACTTTCAAATCAAAGGAAAGAAGTATTCTGACTTTGTCAAGGGTCCCATTAACCACAAAAAAAGCAGTGACTTTCTCCATTCTCATGTTTTCAGAGTTTTATTTTTGTTCCCATCTACATTTATTATTATTTGTTTTTATTTTTAAATTTCAACTTTTATTTCTCGCTTGTTGTGGTCGTATTTTCTTCAGCCCCAGAGGTTTCTGTAGTTTTATTTTCTTTACCCCTAGAGGCAAAGCCTTCCCATCATGAGTTATGCCTTGTCATTAGTTGCATGGAGGCACTACTCTCCTTATGGGAAATCTTTTCCTCTATGGCTGCACACGCACCATCCGAGGGAAACGTCTCTACCATCCTCCATCACCACTGTGGCAACACTGAACCATCCAAAACTCAGTCCAGGGCAATTGATCTGAGCCCTGACTCTCATGGACTCATATCTAAATTCTGATATACCTTTCAATAACGATTCCTCTGTGAGGTGACGTATTACTCCATTTTTACGTGAAATCTTATTGCTAATGGACTCTAGCACTAAAACACCATCATAGATTTGGTCAGGAAGAAACACGTCCTGTGGAAGTTTTGATACATCTCAGAAAACAGGAAGAACACACTAATGAGCGGTCTCTGCTAAACTCCCGTTCTGCACTTGACCTCCAGAGGGCAAGGCCGCACAAACTGGAGCTTTTGTTTCTGTTGAAGATCAATTCACTGCTCAGTTTCTGCTTCCTGCAGCTGGTTGAGTTCTTTCTAGACAGAGACAAGTGACAAGAATCAGAGGTTTAAAAGCAACCACATTCATCTCTGCAGGTTTTGTAGTTTTATATAAGCAAGGAGCTCGTCCAGCAAACCTTCCGCACACTTCTTGTTCTTGGTCTCTTCAGCCACTTTCCTTCTTGTTCTCTGGAGATCTTGCAGAAAAGAGCCTATAGTGTTTCCCTTGCTCAGCCATGCTCCTGGTGTTCATCCCACTGCTGGGGATACATTTTGTCCTGAGTGAGTAAAATTTCTTTATGGTCTTTAGTTTCACAGGTTTTGACTAGAAATGCTTACTTTTTATACTGAGTCTGCACTGCTTTCACTGATAGCACATTGTTTTTCCAGGAACTGCCAGAGCCCAGTCAGTGACCCAGCCTGATATCCACATCACTGTCTCTGAAGGAGCCTCACTGGAGTTGAGATGTAACTATTCCTATGGGGCAACACCTTCTCTCTTCTGGTATGTCCAGTCCCCCGGCCAAGGCCTCCAGCTGCTCCTGAAGTACTTTTCAGGAGACACTCTGGTTCAAGGCATTAAAGGCTTTGAGGCTGAATTTAAGAGGAGTCAATATTCCTTCAACCTGAGGAAACCCTCTGTGCATTGGAGTGATGCTGCTGAGTACTTCTGTGCTGCGGGTGCCACAGTGCCTGGGTCTGCAGGGGGAGCTGAACACAAACTGCCTATGCTAGAGAAGTTTTCAGAGACTCAGTGTATCTTCCTGTGGCATTTTCAAAGATCTCTTGCTTTTATGATGGTGAGTGAGGCAAAGAGAGCTGAGCACATCCAGGCATTTCTATATAATTCTGCAATTCCTGCTGTGTCCCATGTCAGGTAAACTTTGTTTTAGAAGCTTTTTGTTAATTGAAGAAACTGCCTAATAGGAAATAGTATTCTAGAATGATGGAGGAGACATACTTCTTATCACCTAAGGTCTCAAGGACCTTTCCTTGACTGTGACTGCATTAAGTGGTTGACTATGGGAATGTTGATACGGTCTAGGAGAACCTTGGTTTTCATTTATCATTTAATCTCTCAACTAACCCAGAAAACGAAAGATAAACTTCTCATGTTCTTACCTTGCAAGTTTGCATTCTTGAGCTGGTCATTCATAGGATATTTTCTTAGAATTTATTTTTTCTGGCTCTAACTGTGCTATTCAGGTTTCAGGATATCTTGTCTCAGTAACTCTATTTAGGAAGAATTATGAGAAATTATTAGCCAACAGTGAAAGTTTCATTAGAGTCATGAAGGACTCAGAAAATTGTCACAGCGATGTGAGTTCTGGCAACTAGGAATAGTGCACAAGGAGAATGAAGACTTAGAATTCGTCAGTGTTTCTCCAAAGACTTTTTCACAGTTATAAAAATAGCTTCTATTCTATTGATATATTAATTATGCAAACCTACATTGTAAGTTTTTCTATGAAATTTCGTTCATCTCTTCTAGCTACTGACACTTTTACTTGTTGCTTTCACTCTGTTGTTATATGGTTTCACTATTGAAATATTAAAGATTGATTCTTTTTTTTGAGATAGGGTTTTACTCTTTCACCTAGGCTAGAGTGCAGTGGCATGATCATAGCTCACTGCAGCCTTGACCCACACCCCCAGCCTCAAGCAATTCTCCCACCTCAGTCAACTTCCTGAGTAGCTGAGACTACAGGTGCGCACCACCATGCCTGGCTGATTTTTTTTTTTTTTAAATTTTATTTTTAGTGGAGAAAAGGTCTCACTATGTTGCCCAGGCTGGTTTCAAACTCCTGAGCTCAAGCAATCCTCCAAACTTTGCCCCCCAAAGTACTAGTATTATAGGAATGAGCCACTGAACCTGGCCAAAGATTGATTCTTTTATAGTAACATTTTGATAATCTGTCATGTGGTAAGTTTTGCGATGCCAAGCTCTGTTAGAAATACTGATAAGAGTTACAATGGTACTGGATTCCAGGCAGCTGCTGGAAAGTATAAATGCGTGACTTTCTTATGTCTAGAGTGGAAAGAACTGTATCAGAAACTTTTGTACTCCTTGTCTGCTTGCTGCCTCGGAGGATAACCAGTGCTTCGGAGGAAAAGGAGAAGGAGGAGGAGAGAGCTCTTTAGCTGCCACTTAGCTCATACTATAATGTCTACGAGGGTAGGTACCTAGGAACCCTGAAAATATAGATCAAATTACTAAATTGTGGGCAATGGCACTCCTTAGCCAAATGGTGAACCAAGATGTCAACAGTATGTTTTAGGATGTGGTGATATGACTACATGTGATAAATATGTTTAAGTGATTTCTGGAATGCTGTGAGGAAGGTGAATGATGTGTCAGATATATAAAATTATGAAAAAGAAATGTATGCTCATTTAATGTTCCTGCCTCAGTCCCTTCCTTCTTTGCTGGTTTTGGACCACACTCTCATCTACCACTGATAAGACAAATAATTTTAAGTGACTCATTGTCATCAGTTCAGCCACACTGCCCAAAAGGACTCATCATAGTATCATGAGCACTTTATGCAGATCGATTTGAGAAAGAACTGCCCATTTCTTTTGATTCTGATCTCAAACTGAATATTAAAGAAAAATAAATTTCATACCAAGGACCCTAAGCAGCTGGGAGAGCATTCCCCATCTCTCCTACCTCACTTCTGCCTGAAAAATCAAAGTAGTCTTGCTTCCTTCTACTAATAATTTGTTGCTTTTGTATAAGTACATGATTTGTAGGAGAAACTTCCAAAATAAGGAATTATGTTAAGAAAGTGGAAATTCTGAGTTATTTTATCAATGATATCAATCATTCCGACTGTTCAGAAAGAATTCTGAATTTTCTTGTAATTAGCTGATCTTACTACATATTCCATCACCCAGAAGCAGGTACCCTAATTGAAAGGTGGAACATTTTACTGAAGACCAAGCTAAAGCCCTGATTGGGAGACAACAGCACATATGCTAAACATTTTCTTCTCTCCCTACATCGTGTTTTTATCTTGTGTACAAGCTGTTGGAAATAAACTTTATAATTTAGTGTAAAGGTAACAGAATTTTCAGGCTGAGTGAAGTGGCTCACACCTGTAGTTTCAGCACTGTGGGAGGCTTAGGCAGGAGGATCACTTGAGGCAAGGATTTCAAGACCAGCCTGGGCAACACAGCAAGACAACATCTCTACAACAATTAAAAAAATTAGCCAGGCATGGTGGTGCCCGCCTGTAGTCCTAGCTACTCAGGAGGATTGCATGGGCCCAGGAGTTCGAAGTTACACTGAGCTGTGATCATGACACCGTTCTCTAGCCTGGATGACAGAACAAGATCCTGCTTTTAAAAAAAATTTAGGAAGGACTGTCCCTGAATTTGAAGAACTATTAATGTAATCAGTGATAAAGTCAATGACTTTTGGGGTTGTGCATCTCCTCATTTTGGAGAAAGAATGAAAATTTCTTCAGTTGCAAGACAGATTTCTGTATCTCGGAGGAGATAGAAGTATAGAATTATTTTGTTGTTGTACATGTTTCAAATGTGTGTAGAAGAATGTGTGTGTTGCATAGAGAAGCTTGAAGTAGTTGAAGGAATCAGTTTATTGACTCTCAACTCTAAATTCACCCTTGCTTCTTCTGTGAAGGTGGATCTGGAACCTTCGACCATTTTCCTTTGCCGGTTGACACAATGTTAAGCTTTGTAGTAGAGAGTCAGGAAGAAAAGGTTTTGCTTTCTGCTTTCCGTGTGCTCACTCATCAGGATCCTGCACTATGGGAGTCTTCTCCAGTGTCCAGTTCACGCAGAGCACTTGCACCAGTTTCCTGCAGTGCACAGTGCCCAGGAGTTTCCTTCAGAACCCCCCTGTTTTGGGGTGATTCTGTGGAAGAAAGCCTGCAGTGAGACACCTCCCCGTGAACAGCTTTCCCCAGTGTCCTAGAGGATGATTTTCTGCCATGTTCTAGAGGGTGGATTTCTAGCAAGTTCTGCTGGTACAGCACCACAGCGACTTCCCTTTCATCCAGTGAGCCACAGCTGTGTCTTTTCAATAACATCTGGGTCTCAGCCCTGAGGATGGGGCTAGTGGCCTCTTCCCTGGTTATCCTACCCTGCCCTAGGAGTAGAGGCTGCACCTTATGTCTGCTATTCCTACAGGAATAGGAATAGAAGAGTTTTCTGTTCTTCATATTATTCATTCTCTTGTTACTCTAACACTCTGTTTATTAATCCTTAAAATTTTTCTGTTGAAATTATATGGTTTCTCTTTCCTGATTGTACTAGACTGAGACATGCACCAAGGACTTCAAGCAACTGGAAAGCATCCTCCATCTCCCCTCCCACTCCTGCCTGAGATATCAAAGTAGTTTTCTTGTTTTATTTCTCTATTGATTTATTGTTTTACTTACTTATTGTTTTATTTACATTATTGTTATATAATTATGAGAAAAATTTACAATAATTTTATTAAGAATTTGGAAATATTGTTACTATATTAATAAAATTAATTTTACTATTAACATTTTGTGCACATTATACACAGAATATTATTATACCATTGGTGCAAATTGAAATCAGTTTTAAAAGGTTTTAGCATACCACACAAACAGGCATTCATTCACCTATGAGGATGTGTCTGGAGATTATAATTCTAAGTCATTCTTCTGGCATGTAACTCTCTTAATACATCACTATTTTTTTATTTTCTATTTCCTTCAGATGGAGGGAGAAGACAATGATAATTGCAAAACCATCTGTAGACAGAATATTTCTGTCACCCTAGAAAGTTTTATGTGTGCCTTTCTAGTCAACTCACCTTCTGGAGACAATAGATGTTCTTATTTCTATCACCTTAGATTTACTTTGACCATTATAGACTTCAAATCAATGGAATCATACATACTTTTTTGTGCCTGGTTTCTTTCATTCATCGCGTTTTTAAGATTCCCCCATGTTCTCATGTGTATCAGTCTTTCATTATTGCTATTGCTGAGTAGTATCTTATTATATGGATAAAGCACAATTTGTTTATCCATTCAGCTGTGCATACCACTGACTGGACATAGAATCTTTTAGGGATTAAATCTTTGGTATCATTCTTAAGAGTGCAAGGTACAGTTGTTCTAGATGTTTATATCCTGTATTTCAAGGGTAGGGTGTGCCTCTAAAATACTTTAGTTGAATCATGTATCTTAAATACCTTTATTTAAAAACCATTTTCTATCATCCATTATGCTACCTAATATGTCACTAGTTTTGCAAATAAAAACCCAACATCTAATATTGCCTATGCTATTTAGCAAAGCTTTGGGTGTTATTCAAACTGTGGGTAGCTGAACTGTAGTTTCCTCTGTCGTGGCCTTATGTATTAATCACAACAGTGGCTGACCACCCTGGAGTTTGCTTTCTTGACTAAGTCAATTGACTCTCCTTAGAGTTGAGACTTAACTAGTACATATCCAATATTCTCTGGCTTTTGTCAAAAAGATTTAATGTAAATTATACATCCTAACACTGTGATATTTTTATTCTTACTTGGTAACTGATAGTCAGATATTATGAACAAAATTTAGGTCATTGTTCCTGCAGGTCCTAAAGATCTGTAAGTCATGTAATTATAATCCTTGCTCAACAGTCAAATTGTTTTTTGTGATATGTCTTATATAATAGGACAATAAAATTGACCTTTATATTAATATTCTAAGGCTGGCATAACAAAATACCACAGACTAGGTGACATAAACAACATAATTTATTATCTCAGAGTTCCACAGGCTAGAAGCTCAAGATCAAGTTGTCAGCAGGGTCAATTTCTTCTGAAGTTTGCAGATCATGTTGCCTTTTCACTGTGTCCTTACACGGTCTTGCCCTTGAGGGTACACATGTCTGTGTCCAAATTTCCTTTTCTTATAAGAACAGCAGTCATACTGAATTAGAGTCCACCCATGTGACATCATTTTACCTTAATTATTTCTTTAAAGACCCTATTTTCAAGCACCATTACATTCTGAGGTACTGGGGGTAAGGGCTTCAATATGTAAATTTTGAGTCGGATAGAACTCAGTCCATAACAACTCTCCAAGTAAATATTACATTCGCAAACAAAACAGTTGAAACCTTTCTTTATGCACTGCTTTACTAATTTCTCGTGCACACAATGATCATGTATAATTTTGATGATGAGATTTTCCTGTATTGAGTTTCTTTCTAGAGGAATGAGAAATGTGCAATTACAAATACAGATAGCTTATAAAATATTCTAAAGTGCAAAAAACCAGTGATAAAAATTGAAAACTCTTTTTCAGAGGTGGCTTCTTTTTCCTTTGTTCCATCGGGGTGCAGAATTCTCTCATGTTTAGATTTGTTCTTTCCTGAAGATAAATCTTAATTTCTGCTTGATATTTTATCTCTGACAGTTTTCCTTTCTTTCCCCATTCTGTTTTCTGTCTGAATGTTATTTTTTTTTTACCTCTGTCTTATTGTTTCTCTAATATTAGATTCTACCTGTGCAGAAGCCAATTTAGCTAACTTGCTATTTTTCTCTTGCACTCCTCCTTCACCACCTCATCAGCAGAACTGACATTATAAAAGAAAAAGAATTGAAATTCTTTTGAAGTTGTTTAGGACAAGTGCAGTGGGTTAAGTGGATGAGGAAGGTGGCTACAGTCCTTAAACACAGGAGCAGCAGGAAGAATCCCATCATATATGCTCAGCTTTCTTGAGGATTGTTTTCTGTTTTTTTCAAGTAGTATGTATCAATATTTTGATATTTTGTAGTTAAATATGTATCAAGTTAAATATTTTTCAAGTAGTATGTATCAATATTTTGATTCAATCAGATAATCTTTTTAAAACAATATATGTTTTCATTGCTGACATGCTTGGATTCATTTTAAATTTGTTTTACACAGCGTTCTCTTGATTTTTTTCTTGTTTTTTTTTAGCCTGTCTTCTCTTGCATTGATAGTTTGATGTTTCTTCATACTGCTTTGAAAATGTAATGTATATTTCTGTTATGATAAGTACCCCTGTTACACAAATGTATGTATAGAAATATGCATATAAATGTATGTATATATGTGTATGCATATATAAATCTAATTTTTATGCCCAATGTTATTCTTTTTTTTTCCTCAGTGTTGTTCTGTAACATTTTTTCCTTGTACGTCCCAGGCCTTCTCCTTTACCTCCTGCTGACTTATGATTTTTAGAATTACCTTCGTGGCTGATTGGAAGAAACTACACATAGCTATATACATCAGGACAATAATTTCAGCAAGATATTATGAAATGAACAATAAACTATACCTCCGATGCACATTAAGAAAAGTAATAGAAAAGAAAACCATCCGACACAATAATTGCAACATGAATTTACTCCCTTCCTCCTCAGAGCCGTTGTCCCTGATCTTCCCTCTGCCTGGAGTGTTTTTCACCATTGGCCACATAGATGCCTTCAC